CGCAGTGAACATGTTTGGTGAACAATCCTGTACTCGGATAGCGTTTCAGACGTATGAAATAAAATTCTCGATAAATGGGGAGGATAAGATAGCCTTCTAATTTTTGATTTATCAGATGTTTATTGTTACCAGCCGTAATCGCAGTTGATTCCTATTGGTTATTACATTTTCCATAGGCTATGCTATAAATCATTAATTTTAAAATGAATAATGTCTAGAATAAACTCTCGAGGTTGTATACCTCATAAATTATGATATTTTACAGGCATACAATAAATATTGAATACACAAATACTGAAGTACATTATACAATTTATAAGAGTATACATTGTTTCTATACCTATATATGTTTTTAGTTGGTTCTAAAATAAGATATTCCTACTTATTTAATTTATAAATAATAAACTGTCTAAACTATAAGTTAATTATTTATATTATTATGATATATTATATTAATAAATAGTTGATCAACAATATTAACATTTTGTTAACCAATATCTGTGTAATGTAGGTACAATACATAATATAATACTGGCGTATTCACCTGATAAATGTCCGAAACACAATGATGATAATCGTTTTTTACATTCGGCCATTGAAAAATATTTTAAAGTAGCATACATATAACCTATGGTATATGATATTATGTTATAACTTAATATTTATTAAATTAAAGTAAAAATTTAACTTTTGGTTATCAGTAAATGTTGAAAATTATTGAATTTAAATAATATTATGTTTACAACAAGCTATAAATACTAATGCGATCCAACTTTTTAATGTTAACTTGTAACTACTTATTTACGTATTTTTAGTTGTAAGCATTTATTTGAACAAAATAAAAAATAATAACTTTTGTAAGCTATGTATATAAAAAATAAAATAAGATTTTTTTTTCTTTCTTTAAAAGGTTATAGATTTTTGTATTTTAAATTATGAACGGAATAATAAATGTATTGATATAAAATTATATGCTTTTTTTCCAGTTCATCACCACCTTTTGGGACAGTAAAAACACTTGATATTTTCAACATAGGGAGTAGTATCTAGTAACAAATTAGATCTCTTTGGTACTTCGAAAGGTCAAAAGTAATTTCCCTGTATTTATCCGAGAAAAAAAATCAAGAAAAATAGATAGTTTTTACTAGACTAGTATTCGATACAATTGATTTTTTTTTTCATAATTTAAAAACGAATTATCATTTTTTTCTTCACTACCCAATTTACTCTTCCTGGCCCACACACGCCTATTGTAGAATAGAGCTGTACTCATTTGCCTATCTTCTTTTTACTTATTTTATAGCTGTTCAAGCTACAAGAAAAAACTTAATCTATTAAGTATTAGGTAAATATAAAGAATAAATAATACAAAAAAAGTGGTTAGTAGATATGCAAGTAAATATATACCTATATATTTTACATTTAAATGAATCATTGTTATTAATACAAACAAAAATATAAATACTACACGAAAGTTTACATACTAACATATAACACAGACATCCATGTAGTTTTTATTGTCACATATTTTACAAAGTTAATTAATATTTATTGTTGATATATCCAGGTAATTATTTATAAATATTTGATTCTGAAATCTTTATTTAGCATACTATTAAACATAACTCCGTAAAATGTTTTAAGTAGGCAACTAATTATCCATTTTTTCGGATTGGAGTGTAATTCAATTAATCGGTTGATGAATTTATAAGAAATACAAACAAATTGGTAAAACCTACGGTAACAGTTCGTTTAAAAAAACATCATGATTATATTGTACATAGCAAAATCCATGAGTTAGAAAAGTAGGTACCTATACTTATTGTGGTACATAAGGCACCTATTGACAGTTATAAATAAATACTTCGAAAGTTAATTTAGGAGCTTTCCCGTATGATTATCGATAACTACAGTATATTTGTTAGGTACTAAAAATGACGATTATTCGTTCTATCGGTTATCAATAACCACTGCGAGACACAAACAGTACGACTCTCTTTTTATTTGATCAACAGATAGGTACGTAGGATGCATGACCGAGGCGGTTAGACGTATACAGATACAAATATTATCTACAATGTTGAACAGAACCTACTTTGGTGTATGGTCGTATGGAGCCAATAGATGGTAATGGTTGTTGCCGATAATCAAGTCTGTGACTCGACCACTGACCAGTGACCAAACAAGGCCCAAGTCTGACCACAAATCATTAAGAATGTCTACAAATGAATGTAAATGTACAGTAGGTAAATTTTTTTAGTATTCTATATTTCGTTATAATACACATTATACGTTAAATTTTTTTATTTTATGTTTGTACTTTACCCTAATCTTGAACACAACACCAATTTCAATCGCAGAATAATAAATAAATAAAATAATAGAATAATAAATAACAATAATTATATTGTTAATATAATATGTTTTTGTGTTTATAAATGACAACTTTTTTCTTCTTGTTTCTATTTCCTGTATTATTTAAATAAGATTTATATACATTCTAGAATTCTTAAACAAATCTTTGAGTTATAACTTAAGTTTCAAATCATGGGTAATCGAAAATAAGTACTTATAGTTTTAAATGTTAAGTGAAATGGATAATATAAACTGTGAGAATTTCATCATCACATTGAAGCTTTAAAAAAAAGTATCACAACTAAATATGTATCTATTATTCAAAATATCAATTGTTGGTTGACCAATAAAATGAAGTCAAATAAAAAAAAATAGAAACGGAATGAGTACCTACTTATTAAAATAAAATGTTATTTATAGGAATATTATGATTCTAATTCTTTATTTTTCGTTGTATACCAGCTAAATTCTATTGAGTTTAAATAGTTTAATTATTATAGTCAAGTATCATAAACTTGACCAGTACTTATATAAACATTCCAGTTAAGTGATAAAAAGTTTATTTATTAAACTACATGTCAAATGGTGTATTTAGAACAGTAAAATGAAAATGGAACTTTACTAATGTTTTTTAAAGTATAAGTGCTATTTTTAAATAAATATTTATATTCAGTAATAATACAAAAGTAAATAAGTTATACATATACACATATAAAACTAATAAAGTAATAATATTTAAGGATGTATATCATAATTAAATGTTTAATTTAAGATTTAAATTTCTTATAAGCTATTTCATATATACAAATGTCAAATAGTATAACCTACTTAATCAGTTAAATATAATTTAGTACATGTATTATAAACGTATCATTATGTCATTGTTATATACCATAATATTGTATTAAATAACTAATATTTCTAAATAAATATGTTATATAAAATACTTAATTAAATTATAGTTGCTATTATTATAAACTCTTTTTGATATTTTTAATGCTTGTTCCATTATATTATTTAATTTTATAAGCAAAATAATTGAATAAGCCGAATTTTGCATCATATAACTTTAATTGATTACTTAAAAAGTTTAATAAAGTTGCTTCTTAATGTTTTTATTTTTTTTCTAAATAAGACATTGAATAATTTTAAAATAAAAAGGGCAGTAAAAATTATGATTTGGAGAAAAATCTTTCAATACATCTCTGAACATGTCAGAGTGTCTTGATATCACATTTAAGGATCGTGATTCAAATTAATTAAGTGATTTAATTAAATTAATTTATATTAAATCCTAATAAGTAATTTTGTTAGATAATTAAATATTATGATCAAAAATCTATTCACTTAGATAGACCATAGACATACTGTTTTTTTTTCATTTTTTTAAAAGTTAAGCCCATCAATAATTGTGATACAAAAAAGACACATAAAATAGTCTAACAAGTTTCTTTCAGTTTTCATATAAAACTATTAATACCTTCAATCTATATATTTACTAATAGAAATAACTATATAATTACATAAAAATATACCAAATAATGCATTAATTGTAAATTTATAAGTTAGGTTTTCTTCATAATATAGATAATTCAAGTGATGTTTCTGATTTTGTAATTAAAACCAAGTACTAAATTTTTATCATAATAAAATAGTGAAAAGTTTCTTTATTGTATAAGCTTTATGATCTTTAAATTATGATTACCGACAAAAAAAATTTGCATAATTTCTAAAAGCAACTTTACTGAGTGTGACGCAATTAATATTTGCATTGCGATCAATGAAAAATTAAAGTTATAAGTTATAACAATAATTATTAAGACCATAAGTCCATGACACAAAAAGCATTGAATAATTCAATTGTATTAAAAATTATTTTTGATAAATAAATCATAAAAATCCAATTATGAACAAATTACAAAAGTCAGTTTTATAAGCTATCATTCGTAGCTTGGTAATTGGTATGGCACGTTGGCTGTTACCAGTTACGGAAAGTGACTGGGAGAAAGTAACGACCACAGCTACTAGTTCCCGGATGGGTGACCACTTGGGTTCATAGTGGTTAAAAACCTTGCCACACATACATGTATTTCTATCAACCGTAACTACCGTAACAATCGTCAAAACAACCTACTCTACCAACCTTACCTCTAAAACAGTTCATAACCCCTACAACAACTAATGGCCCTAGTAGTCGGGCTTAAGTTCAATAAAAAATAAATAAAATTATCATTCATACTGATATTTTTAAAATAAAATTTATTTTGCAACTTTCAAAACTAAGCAAGTAGTAATGTGTGTGTTAACTAAGAAAATTCAATCTTGTACCGCCATATATGATTAAAAGATCTACTTTAAGGTATGTTTTCTCCACAGTGTCAAGGTGCTATGCTGTTTCACTATTTTATGTTACAAGGAAAATATGCTTTAATATTGTAAGTTCTCTGATGAAAACTAAGTAACAATGCAGTACAGAAAATTAAAATGTGATATGAAAATATAATAAGTAAGAAGACAATTTTTAGAATAAAGGATACTCAATGATAAATAATAAATGTACAACAAAATCATAATAAAGAATTATTTTCTAATACTAAAAATAAAAAATAAAACATTATCTTATATTTTTTATAATTGTCAAACTATAATAAAATGCAGTTGAACCTAATCATTAAAAATTAAATTTAAATTACTTAGTATTAACAGAAATATAGTAATTATGTTTCACCGCATTCGTAACGCACAAAATCTAGTATATCAATACCATAATCAGTTGCTACTTGTCCTACAGTTAAAGATGGGTCCAATAAAAAAGCTTGTTCAAGCATGCCATCCTCTTCAATAGTAGATTCTGAACTTTTTTCATCCATATTTTCCATGGACGAATCATCATTTTCATTTAATGTTTTAGCAGCCACTACTTCTTCGGATTTTATAGGTTCTTTTAAATTTAGAACTCCAACATTTTTTGGATTCATACCTAAATAGAATAAATGCTTTGATTTGTTTTATACAAATTATAACTAGTTTTTACAAATCAAATAAAAACAAGTATTATTTACCAATAACATGTTGACACATTTGACGAAGAATTTCATCATAAGAACTCTCCATAGACCTTTGATTAATTTTTTCACTATCTAGTTGTTTGCGGTAAATTAGAAGTGATCCGTATTTACCAGAAAGAAATTGAGATCCAGTTATATTAGCTGGATGAGTAAGGCCCATAATATTCAAACCAGTGTCTCTAGTGTTTAAACATGTGGCACGTCTGAGAGTAACATTTTCTCCAAGATTACCTATTGTAACTGCAACATGATCAGCCAGTGATTTACCTTCAGCACCGCTTAACTCCATCAAATCACCGCTTTTTAAATTAACCTAAAGCAAATTATACTATAACAAAGTTTTTTTAGCTAAAAATTATGTTTGTACCTTTGAAAATGAATTTTCTAATGCTTTTTGTTGTTTAGCAAAATCTAAACAAGATGAAGTGACTACTTCTACAACAGAATGAAAACATTTGTTACGAGCAACAAAATCAGTTTCACAGTTCACTTCCACCATAGTAGCAATTTCTTTTTGACTATCAATTGCAAACGCAATAACTCCTTGGGCAGTGGCACGATTAGCAAGTTTGTTAGCTTTTGCCCAACCAAGCCGTTGAGCTTCTTCTTTTAACCATGCCTCTGACTGTTTAAAAATATATATTATCACTAATATTATACATACTAAAATATATTAATTAATTAATTTTACCTTTTCTAAACTGTTATCATTTAATTGTAAAGCCTTTTTGCAGCTTTCAAACGGATATCCTGTTTTTTTTCTTAATTTTAAAAGTTGTGCTTTGCTAGATGACCAGTTTGTGCTGGATATGTGAATTCCTCTAAGTAATATTAATGATTTCAACATAATGCTGAAAAAAAAATTATTAAATTAAACTTTTTTTACCAATTTAATATGGATACATATTTAAAATATTAACTAGAAAAAATTATCTTTTTTAATTTAAGTTATATATCATGAAATTATACATGTATATATTCATGCTTATTGTAAGAACATATTATACAAGCCTTGTATGAAATATTAGTAATTTTTAATACACATATTCTGTACATTATAGACTGTTCAATTGTTTTGAATTAATATACAGATTACTTTTTATATTTCTACCATAACTGAATTATTATATTATAAATTATTAATTGAATAAACAAATTACCTAATTTATTACCTTTAAAATACAAATGAATAATTAATAAATGTCACTTAAAAACAAGCACATTAAATAATAAATATAAAAATTAAATTAATAAACGAATAAATACAATATTATTTAACAGTAGGTTGTTTAAACTTGTATTTAATCATAGTATGATTGCAATCAAACTGATTAATTTAACAAAAATGATTTACATTATAATTAATGGTAAAGTTAATTAACGTTAATTCAATTTACAGATAAGTTATAGCTAACGTAATCACAATTTAATAAAGGTCTAAGGTAGGAAAAATTTTGTCTTAAAACCACTAATATCACTAAAATGAAAAAAATCACAGAATACGGTATTGTAGAATAATACTATAAAATGGTAAACTTCGAAAAAATGAGTTTTAAAATGTTTGAATATAGTATCCAAATAACTGAAATAACTGCAAGCACTATAACAGCGAATATTTATATGTCTAAAATAAATTATTGCTTACCCTACTGGAAATGTGAACTCAAAGTCAAAAACTTGGACTGTAGCCTTTGAAAAACGTGAAATAATGTGAATATTAAAATATATAATAATGTGAATAATATTAATAATGTGTAATGTGAATATTATAATAATTGATAACTGATATTGAAAAGGCGGTGATAAGGTTATGGATACCGATTTTCTTCTGAATATATGCACCAGATAACGCGTATCACTGTTATAGTGTAACCAGGACATGATGGTTATAGATGATATGATTATCAGACCATGTTTAACAAAATTCGTATAAAGCAAGTGATCCAAGTCCAAACAAATGTCAACATTGATAGTATTGTTTTAGGATGTACACACAAATAAGACAATATAGGTAATTAGAATATTATAAGGAATCTGAACTTGTTTTCTAAACATATTAGTTAGGTATATTAATTAGATAATTAGATGGATCAGTATTCAGTACGTTGAAATGAAAATAAATTTAACATAAAAACGAATCGTAGTAGAAAAAGTTTGAAGAAAAAAGTCCGGTTTTTATTTATTTGAAAAAGAAAAACACAGGTAAAAATATTCACCGTCGTTATAAAAATTATTATTGTAATTTTTAGTCGAATAATTATTATACTAACAAAAATACAACTGTTTAGTCACATTATACACCTAAAAACTCAAAATCTTTATTTTTATTGACTACAACGGATATAATATGTATTATATGAGTAAAATTCGACAAACCAGATACCTAATTAAAATAAAAGCAATAGTATATTAAATTAAAAAAGTCAAGCCATATTGACGTGTTCAAAGTACAAAAAAATAGTTGTAGTAGATATATATCAAATATTGTGATATTACTGATACCTATTAGTTCCTACAAAATTATTTATTAATTTCATCAGAAATCATAATAATATGACATTTAAAAATTTTAATTATTTTTCAAATGTATATTGATACCTACTAATAAGAAAAATTAATTGTGCATCACAATATGCGTCAGACCTTTTTATCACGGACTTTTTATATTTCAAACCTTTTTTACCTTATGGACTCAAAGGCCTTAAAAAAAAAAACTTATTTACCTGAACTTTGTGGTAGTTTGTCCATAAAAATTCCGTTTTGAATCCCTTCGTGTACAATTTTAAGATATATCCTTTAACTAAGTGCTAAAGATATCCTACTGGCTACTACCAGATGGTAAATGTTCTATTTTTCAAATGACAATTCACTGAATAGTTTAAATACCATATTGTCTATGGTGGACAGTTAGACAATGGTAATTAGTAATTACTAATTACTAATTGGAGATCGTGATTTCCTTGTTCCTGACGTTCGTGTACGGCACTCTGTCAACGCCATAACGATGTTAAAATCGCTTGAATATAATACGATCATTGATCTATAAAGTACAAAGATAAATATATGCTGGTAAAGCCGTACAAGGACAATCACCAATTATTATTGTTATTTGTTCGACCGACATATTGTCATGCCGAATGGTGTGTGTGTGTGTCTGTGTCTGTGTCTGTATCTGTGAATAAGGACGTCTCAGATGTTTCAATGTCTCTGATTCAGACACACATCTATACATAGATACATATATCTAAGACTAAATATACAAAATTTGCATAACACTGTGACGAAATAAATATACCTACCTATTTAAATTAAATTATTTTGTTATGTTTAAATTTAAGATGTATTATTGGTATCACCTTACATTACGCATTCCTAATACAGTTTTGTATATATATAATTAATTATTTATTTTTAAAACTAATTTATTAATTAGCAAACTTAAGACAATGATATTAACGGTGTTGCAATAAGTTCCATCTTCAATCGACGAGTTTTTGATTTTAAAAGGAATTACAACTTATAGCTTATAAGTTATGATTTTATGAACATAAAATGTCATAATGTTAAATGCTTATATATTTTAATATTGTTATACTATATAGTATTGACTACTGACGTCAGTGCCAAATCAGTACTGAGCACTAATGAAACTGGAATTTTTTTCTAACTGAATAATATTTTTTTCCAGTGATTGTTGAGGGGGACTACGTTATTTCAACATAATAGTTATCTCTTCACTTAATGTTTTTAAAGATTATATTTTCTCAGACTTCAAACATACTGCAAATTATAAATTATAAAAAGTATTAAAAAGTAATTACCTTAATTATATACCTTCATTTCGAATTATAAAAAAAATATACTCTAAATCTTATTACCTTTATATAATTGTACAAATACAAAAAATTAATATAATAAATACAAATAAAAATGTTATCGGTAAACGTTTCGATTTAATTCTCATTTTTCATTTCAAATGAAACATTGGTAGACATAAACAAAATATAAAGTGAGATACACTTGCCTCCACTGTAATACCATCACTGAATGTGGCCTGTAATTTGTAACCAATCAATATACCAACAGGCAACAGACTGCATTAGATATGATAAGTACATAGTAAAAAGAAAGAAGAAGATACTGAATTGGTTTAACAAAACTATTCGTATTGTATTATAGAATGTAGTAGCTTACTATTATTTTTTTTCATAAATACTAAGTAGCAATTATAACCAATGGTAGTAGGCACTAGGTTGTACATAGGTATCTTTTTTTTTTCAATTTAAACCGATGACAGAGAACTATATAGTTTCCTAATACATTTTTCTGAGTCCGAAGGTAACTATAGAAATATCGTATATAGCTTTACTATACAATAGGAGACGTGTCTAATTGGTGGGATGTATAATAATATACTTAGATGTATACACAATTGGTTTTAAATCGGATGAATATTTCATATCATTTATATAGAACATTCTACGGATCTACGATGACATAACAATGAACATTGACAATGTGTCAATGTATATATAATACAATATCATCTATAGTATATGTATATTATAACAACAACTCGAAACCTTAAGACCAAGAAGCAGAGCCGAATTTAGGTTTTTGCCGCATAGAAATTGAAATTAATTTACTACCTTATTTATAAATTCATATTTTACTCCTAAAAGTGATAGGTACACTGATACGTAAACGGCCTATCACGCTTCATGTTTTAAAAATGATCATTAATAAAATAAAAATATGAAATCAATATTATATTTTTACATCTAATAAATAAAAATTACTTAAGCAAACTTAAAAAAAATGTATATACAAGTATATATTATTACTATTCAAAATATTGTCTTACGTATCTATTTTGATTTATTTTTCGCAAGCAGTCTTCAATAATTTCATATGATAACTGATTATCATATAATATATAATGTGACTAGCGCAGCGGTTCTCAAACTGTGGTACGCGTACCACTAGTGGTACGCGAAAGACTACATGATGGTACGCGGAACTGCGGAAGGCCACATGGTGGTAGGATTTTTAATCTTCAGTGGTACGCGACTGATTGATAATATACTTAAGTGGTACGCGAAATAAAAAGTTTGAGAACCGCTGGACTAGCGCATTTAATCGATGCTGCGACATCGTAGATCGAAGGTAATTTTTATAAAAAAATAAGAAGAGAATTCAGCTGAACAAGTAGTCACTGCAATAGATATATCTATATATTCTTAGTACTATTTTTCCATAATAGGATATATTAAAATTAAGTTATTTTCTTATAAAATTTGAAGAAGTTTGGGAATATTTTTTTTTCATCATTAACCAGTTGTATTATGTGTCCTTTTTAATGTGGAGATTTATTAATTTATTAAAATCTATTTCATCGTAGTATGTTTTACAAAGTTGTATAGCTCCTTTAAAAATATCATCATGTGATAAGACTTTCAAGCTTGACAACAAAAGCAAACGGCAAAACAAAAATAAATTGTGATATGCAGTTCTTTTCTTGTCAAGTTCATTTAATTAACGATTAAAATAACTAAAAAGATATCGATTTAATTTTTTTTTCTTTCGGAAGTAATTAAATCATTATGTTTAGTTTCATCATGAAAAATAGATTTTATTTTAATATTTTTTTTATATTGATAATAAGGCTTCAACAACAAGGTCAGAATATGTTTATTTAAATTTATATACTAAGACATTTTGTTTTAAATTGATTACACTAATAAATTGTTAAAATAAATTATTTAATTGACACATAAGAAACCGCTTTTTTATAACAATAAAAAACAAAGTATGGCAAATTACGTCTTTTAAACGACTAATGGATTTTATTATGGTCTATAAGGTATAATAAAATAATAAACATGCATGTACCTTATAATATTTTGGGTGTCATCACTTATTGCAATCTCCCAGTGTACATAATACATGTACACTACCTACGATATAAAATTTACGACGAAAAATGTAAATATACTCGTTTCATAATATAAAAAAATCAAATACGGCCAATGCGGAATTTAATGTTTCCTTACTTTACAATCTACCTATATGATAAAATAATATTAATAATCTAAATTCCAATAATAGGTATATATACTTAACTACGACTGCGATTTATTTTGAACACTGCAGTTAATATCTATATTGTATCATATCGTACTATGTTCATATTATTGCATGTTTTTATATTTTAAATTAAAAAAATAATATCTAAACGTCATTTTCAGGTCACACCATAAACAATTTGATATTTTGTTTCGACTTTTAAAATTAGCCGCCCTGGGCTTAGCCTAAACAGCTTAAGTGGCGTAATACGGCCCTACCAAAAAGAATTATCAAACAAGAAGAAATGAAGTTATAAAATATACCTATTACCTAATCAATAAATTTAACAATGTTAACTTCTAAAGTTTTAATTATATACTGTAGCACTTCGCTTATACCTGACAAGTGACATTGCCAGTGCATAACTTATTTTTCAATTTACCAGAACTCTATTCAAACATACAATATGAATAAAGTATACACTACTTATATTTAGTAATGTTTGTTAACTAAATTGGTGGAAAAAAAATAATAGAAATTATTCAAACGTTTAGTTGGAAAAGTAGAAAAATAAAATAAAATATGTTTCATCTTTTCCTTTACTGAAAAGTAGAAAAATAGCACTGTAATGATATTTGAAGAGATTGAGAGAAATTGGTTGTTCTTATTTTCTAAGTAATTGAAACAAAATCATAAAACTCAATGGTGTCGTCAGAAAGTAGTAAGTAAACGTAAAAAAAGGTCTAATTTTTAAAAAACTATTATAAGAATAAGAATTATGGAAAAAGTTGAACATTATACATAATATACGACAGTTTATAATATGCAATCATATATATATATATAGTTAGCATTTATTTATTTATTTATTTTTTTATTAATAAAATTACACTCGATGGCATAGGCCATTGGGATACAGTTATTATATACATTTCATTAAGAATATAGTTACCTAGTATTATTCCGCATTATTGTGCAAAATTAATACCTATAATATTTATAGGCATATTTACTGAAATTTATCTAATATTATTTTCGTATTAAATGTTATTGATTTTACAATATTAAAAAAAAAAATAAATAAATATATTAACTATTTACTTAAAAGTTTAATTTTCATTAAGTACCTATTTCATTTATTTTTTATTTATATTTTTTTCTTATTCTTTATCTTTTAGTGTGAGAATATGAAATATTTGGACAATTGTTTAAGTGATTAATTCTAACAAAGAATTTTCATTCCAAACATTCCATCGGAAGTATTTAACCGATAATTGTGTTTAAATTATACATTAATTGCATTAACCGTGAGTCAACTATGAATCAAAATGCATTAGTATACTATTATATTATTATTATAGGTACTACTGTACTAGGCATTATATAAAGACATTTAAAAATTAAAAATGTTGAAAAATAATTATATGAAGATATTATTTCGTCAAATTTCGGATGGTCTAGATAGAATACAATAATGAATAATATATTAGTAGTTAAACTAAATATTTAAATAGAAATTTATTATAAAATCATATGATGTATTGATGTGTATTATAATTTTTAATAGAACGCTTCGTCGTTTAATATATATTAATCAAATTGTAACAATAAAATAAAAAAATTAAAAATATATCAATTTTATTTATTTTAAATATTTATAAAATATTGTATTTGTTTTTTAAAGTTATTATTAATTCGTTGTTTTTATATATTTTTTATAGAATTCGTTTATTAGTAAATCATATTAATATACTCCACAACTTCCGGTGATCTAGTAAATTTTATACTTTTAATATCACAATTTTTAGGTGATTATGAAAAACACATTTGTGTATAGGTAGACGTAGATATGTACGTATAATAAGTAATAATGTGTAAGTATATATAATATGTACGCGCAACAAACGGCGAATTGGCCTTAAACGCCGTCGCGCACGGACTTCAATACATAGTTGGACGTGGACCTCCTGTACAGTCGTATTGTAAATTTTGATAAGTAATAACCTGAACTATAATAGTTACGGTTGGAAGTTAGCCCGCCGTGGTGGCTCGTCAACTGTGACGGAGACGGCTCTTGCAACGCGCGTTAAAAATCGTATCATTACAATACGCATGTACTATTACATTATTTTGCCACGGTATAATAATGTGGTGTTCCATTCTCAGAGGCACTTTAAATTATAATATTATATCCTATGACCATACGCCAGCTATATTATATATTGTAATATCATAAAACAACTACCAGGCACCAACCATTAACTACTTCATAGGTTAAGTTCCTTTATAAATTGTATATAAAAGTATATCGTACTTTACCAAATAAAATACTCATAAGCTATTCATTAGTTATATTGCCAGGACTTATGTAATATTATTTCTCATATACCTAATATACATATTACATATTAATGTATTATGATATTTCACATTTTGACATTTTTAATAATATTTACATTGAATGCTTACAAAGAATCTCGTGTTAAATTGTCAAACTATAGATATTAGTGCAATCAAAAATTATGAAAATTTTAAACTACAAAATAATTTTTATTATTTTGTGTTTCTTATACATTTTTGTAAAATCCTAAATAACCTTGAAAAAACACGAGGTCTCTCGTTAGTTGTATAATGTATTTCTAGAAAAAAATATCAAAAATAATCAATTTTTGAAGAGCAATATTTTACTCATTAGAATTTTATCATGCATAAATTTAAGAAAAAAACTAAAAGAAGTTGAACATATAAAATTTTATTTTCATTTTGTATAGAGAGTTCAATATTATCAATGATTTTTGCTTTTTTAAAACAAGACAAAAAAATTGTTTTTCGTACTAGCTTCTTATCTATTTTATTAATTTTTTACGTTTATAAATTAAAATTTAAAAAAATAATTAAAATCAATACTATTATTTTTTTTGTATTATTTCTAGTCGTCTGCAGTTATATAATATAAATAAAAATCAATAAAAAATAATGGTATTAAATAGAATGTATTATTCATAGGTATTCAAATAATAGAAATCATGTTTATACATAGAATCGTAATTCGTAATTGAAATAAAATACTCACGTTTAAATTATATAGATGCTCATTCGATAAATGTATATGAACAAATAATACGCGTAAAAACCAACGATAATGGCCTTCAACGTTCGACAACACTGACTGACCTTTCAAAAGTACAAACTAGTAACAGTAGTAACTACTAACTAGTTTCAATTTAGATGTATAAATCATAATCAAAGTAGAAAATATAAATATTTTTCTACATAAATATACGTTACAAAAAATAAATAAATATACTTATATACATTATTCACTATTCATTATTGAAAACCAAAATCAATATCCATATAGGTATGGAAATATTATATACGAGGCCATTGATTATTATGAAGAGAACTTCGAAATTAATTGCGTTGTCAAATCGGTGTAAAAAGAAATTACTGAATTATAAATAGAATTATCAGTAAAACAATGTATCTTATACAAAAAATGTTCATAAAAATAAGCCCTATCTTTATCTCAAAATTTTTTTTTCATTGCTTCCAAAATTTAATTTAATTTTTATTGATCGTATTTTGAGTCATTGATCTGCAATTTGACAATCTGTACTTGGTAACTACGTAGTAGTAGTAGTAGTAGTAGTAGTAGTAGTAGTAGTAGTAGTAGT